GAGCGCGTGCGCGACGAGAGCACGCCGGTGCCGGCGCCGCCGACAGCCCAGTTTGTGCTGGACCTAACGATCGAGGGCCAAGCCACGACGATCGCCCATTACGCTGGCATGGACCCGCTCGTCGAAGCGCGGACCTTTCTCGCGGGCATTGGCGTCACGGACGAAGGCTTCATGCAGAATGCCGCGCCGCAGATCGCGCAGATGATCCAGCGCCGCATCGACGAGCTCGCGCCGCCGAAAGAGCTCTTCTCGCTGCCCGTGACACTCAACGACCAGGCCATGCTGCTCGTGCACTACGAGAACAGTACGCCATCGCAGTCCGCCATGGCCTTCCTAACGCAAAACGGGTTCACGGACACGGCGACCGTCAACGCCCTGCTGCCGCAGCTCGTGCAAATGATCTCCAACAAACTGACGCCGCCGCGCGAGCCGCTCTTTTCGCTGCCGATTTCGCTCGGGTCAATGGAGCAGCCGTGCAACTACTTTGAAGGCGACAGTCCCGAGGTCACGGCGCAGCTCTTCCTCGAGACGCACGGGCTCGCCACCGGCGCCAACTATGCGTCGCTCCTCTCGCAGCTCACGTCGCTCTTGCAGGAGCGCATCAACGCCATCAACGCCGAGCGGGCGGCGGCCGCAACGGCCACGACCGAGCCTCCGCTTACGATCCCGATCAACGTTGGAGGCACCGAGGTGCCGCTGTCCTTCTACCCGAACCAAGACCCCGCGGTCGTGGCAGCGACGTTCTGCGACGCGCAGCTTCCCACCGCGAGCGCCGACGACATGCAGGCGTGCAAGGTCGTCTTGTACCAAACGATCACGGGTGTGCTGGACCGTCTCGAAGCCGAAGCCATGGCCGCGACGACGCCGCCGACGCCGCCGACCGAGCGCAAGCTTTTGGTGACGCTGGACATTGATTTGGGCGAGGGCAAGTCGGCCATCCTCTTGTACTACGCCGGCGAGAGCACGGAGGCGACGGTCCGCGCCTTCTGCGACGCCAACGCGATCGACACGGAGAACATTCCGTTCTTGCTCGACGAGCTTCAGAAGCAGATTGATGCGCTCCAATAAGAAGAGAATAAGAGATCCTACGAATCTGAATCTCAAAACCAAACCCTTTTCTTCCATGCAAAATGACACATTGTCGCAACTCCGACAACGACGAGCTAATCCACTTCGTCCAGCGGATCGTCCGACACGTGGTACTTCCTTCGCAGCTCCTCGTCCGAGTCGTACGCGGAGCTCGACGACGCTGGCGCCAATACCGTCTCGGCCAGCAAGTCTTGCATCGCCTCCTCGAGCGTCGCCATGTCCGGGTCCACGGATGGCGTCGACACGCGCTGCGCGGGTGGTGTCGCCACGCGCTGCGCAACTGCTTCGCTCCGAGCGACTGCCGGTGCGGGCGGCAAGACGTCGTTGGCCATCGACAGCATGGCCTGGACGAGCTCGCGCGGGTCGCCGTTCGCCGCGGCCACCATGACATCGTGCGTCGTGTGGCTGTAGAGATGGTGCAGAAACCGCTGGACGTCCGGGTGCGCCCGCAAGAGCGCGGCCATGCGCTCGTGCTCGTCGTCTCCGTCGTCGTCGTCGTCGTCGCCGCCACGTCCGAAAAAGTAGCCGCGGTACTGCTCCATGAGGTCCTCGTCCTCATAGTACTCGTCGTCGTCGTCGTACATCTCTTCGTCCGCGTCATCGTCATATGCGTCCGCGTCCGCGTCATAGTAGTCATCATCCTCGTAGTACGAGCCGTCATAGTCGTCGTCGTCGTCGTCGGCGTCGTCGCCGTCGCCGTCGTCGTCGTCTTCCTCGTCCTCGGCCACGTACTCGTCGAGGTAGCCTTCGTAGTCCATGGGGGCCTCGCCAATCGCGCGCTGCCGCTCGGCGTCGTCGACGTCGGTGGCTACATAACAAGGCTAGTCACACGCCAATGGACGGCTCCATACCAAAGGGAGAGTAGCGGAACGGCGTCGCGCCAAAGTTGACACTCACGGGGTACGTCGTGTTGGTACCGACGCACGGAAAGAGCGCGCGGCCCGGGCACACGGCAAACGCAGTGTCTAATGGCACGCGACTTAGCATGCACCCACCGAACGATAGACGCACCAAAGCGATGGCCGTTCTTGGTCAAGAAGAGCGTGGCTTCGTGGCCAGGACCATAGTGGATGCCGCAGCCGACCGTATCCGAGGGCCCATACGTTCCGACGACCACGGGGCCCTAAAGACGCATGACAGGATGCACATGCACATGCAGCGTACGTCGGGCTCGGTGATGTATGCGCCATCGCTGCTGTGGTAGCCGTACGACCACGGCTCCCAGCCTAGGCGCGAGATGAGAGCCGCTTGCAGTGGGCACATGACGACCGGCATGGTTTTCGAGCAGCGCAAACGACGACGCGATGAAGCCGACCGAGAAGAATCCGTTCGTGTTGTTGGCATCGCCGGGGTCCCGAGGCCTACCGTCGCGATGAGTGCTCCGACTGCAACACGACGACATTACTCGATCGGCGTCGCGGCGAGCGTGACTTCAAAGTAGACGGTCGAAACAACGTCGACGACGAACGGCCCCGTGGCGGTCGGACGGTGCACGACGACAGTCGGCTTGAAGCGAACCGGCACGTTGGACCGGACGCTGCGCCCTTCCGAGTACTCGCCATCAAGGAATTTCGTCATGGCAAAGCGCTGTGGCGCCCCGACTTCGCGGCCCGTGAGGTCGGTGATGCTACGATCGCTGTTAGCTGGCCATACGTAGGTAGGTCGATGATGCGCACGCGTATTCGTCGCGGTCGTCCTCGTCAAACTCATCAAGAAAGTCGAGGTCCATGGTCGATGGCACCATGCGCATGGCCTGGCAGAGGTAATGGTAGGCATCGCTGTGTCTACGGGCGCATGAGCTTCCTGAATATCATGGGCCATGCGTACCGAGGGTACTTGGCGGCGAGGAAGGGCGAGAGCACGAGCGGCGCCGGGAGGGCAAAGTTGGCGGACGCCCACTGGCGGCGGAAGACGTTCTTCCAGAGCGAATCGCGCTCCGTGATGAGGCCGTGGAGGAGGCGCGAGGTAGACGAGAGCGCGCGCAGGCCATGCGAGTCCAAGCAGCCGACGATGCGTACGACGAGGTCGTGCGGCAGCGTCTCGAAGCGAGCAACGTCCATCGTCGGCAATGGCAAAACCAAGCATGCGTATCCGGATCCGCTACCACGTGCGCGAACCTGAGATGCGCGGGAATCTTTTTGAAATGCATTGCTCGATTCACTGCTGCAGTCCCAAGCCGCTCGCATCGACGAGGTGGCGACTGCTCGACCCGATCTGCGTAGCTCAAAAGGCTGGCAGAGGCCAACGGTCGAGGCTGCCGGTACTCGCACGTGGGCTCTCGATCGGCCAAGACAGCAGACAGGCGTGCATTTGCATGATCACATCCAACGAGCCTCTCTTTTCCCGCGCTCCTTCTGCAGCAACAAAGGTCGACAAGACGTAACGAAGAGAGAGAGTGGGATTGACGGGGGTGTCTAGCGAGTTTTGTGTCTAAATAAAAGAGACCGGCATTTACAGGTCGAGCTTCTCCAAGAGCAGCTTCGTGCCAGCTTGGGCCTTGGCCTCCTTCGAGAGCTTCTTGGCTTTGACCGCGCTCGAGAGCGTCTTCTTCGCCTCGGCGTGGTCCAAGAACGCAACAAGCACGAACGCGCCGCGGTTGGACGCGGCCCAGTCGCCAATCATGGCCGCCGGCAGCGCCGCAAGCAGCGGCGCCGACAGCTTGGTGTCCTTGATCATGCGCTGCAAGTGCTTGTGGGCGAGGAGGTCGCTGCAGAGCGGCTCGGCACCCTCTTCCGGCTCGTCCGCGACGATCGACGCGGCGACCGCGGCCAGGAGATCCTTGTTCTCGGTCGCCTTGAGCACCTCGTAGAGCACGTGGCCCCCCATCTTGGAGCGGAGGAGCTCGGCGGCATGCTCCATGCACATGGCTTCGATCGTCGGCTGGAGACCCTTCCAGAGCTCCTTGCGGCGGACCGCCGGGTCCTTCTTGTAGTTGACGACCGTCTCGCCGTCCGGTCCGGAAATCATCGGCGGCTGGAGGAGCGCAATCTCATCGGGGCCAAGGTACTTAGAGTTGAGCGGCGAGAGCAGCTGAAGGAGGAGCTTGGCGCCGTTCGGGTGCAACGCGACCTCGTGCCAATGGCCGTGGAGCTCCGAGAGCACCGACTTTTGCACGAGGACGGTGTCGTCGACAACGTCCATGACGCGCATGATGACGAGGTAGCCCGAGATATGGTTGGTGGCTTCGAGCACCTTGTCCTTGAGCGTCTTGATGACGCGCTTGCGGTCCTTGGGGTTGCCGAGCGCGAGCGTCATCGTGACGACCTTGGCGCCGTTGCGCGTCGCAAGGAGCGCGACGGCCGCGTCACGCACGTTGGGCACCATCGCGTTGACCTGGTCGACGGACGCGACCGTCATGTACTCGAGGAGCAGCGACTGCACGTACGACATGCCGAGGAGCTGCTTGTCGATCATCTTGTTGAGGATGTCGGCCACATGCGATAGGATCTCTTCCTTCTTGGAGGGCGACTGCGCCACAATGTCGGCCAGCGTCTTCTTGGCGCCCTTCGCTTCGTACTCGCCCTTGAAGAGCGCGAACTCCTTGCCGTAAAACTCGAGCTTGAGGCCCGAGAGCTGGCGCGGCTGGAGGTACTCGTGCGCGGCTTCGAGGATGTTGGCCGCGACGTTGTGCGTACCGAGCTTGACGACATGTCCCGTCATCTCCTTGACGATGAGCGCGCGGTCGTCCTTCCCGCCGTACTTGAGCATTTTCTGGACGAGGAAGTAGCCGTACTGCATCTTGCTGAGCTCGAGGATGTACGGCTGGAGCTCCTTGACCGCGCCCGAGCGCTGGGCGGCCGAGCCAAACTTGAGGAGCGATTGGATCACGCGCGACGCGTCGTGCTTGGCCGCCACGTCGTAGATCTTACCCTGGACGAGGCCGTAGAGCTCGTCGCAGAGCGCCGTGCGCTTGGCCTTCTCGACGTTGCGCTCGCGGATGATGTTCCAGATCTCCTTGGCGCGCTTGACGACCTCGTAGTGCGGGCGGTTCATCTTGCGCTGGAGCTTGTAGTCGATGGGCTCCTTACTGCTCTTGCCGTCCTTGGAGAAGGGCTTCTTCACGAACGGCTTCTTCTCCGTCGACTTGCCATCCTTCTTGTCGAACTTGGGCTTCTTGGCCGCCTTGTCGCTGGCGCCGCTCGTCGGCCGCTTCGTCCCTGCGTTCGTCGGAGCCATCGTTTTGAGTTTGACGCAAGCCTCGAATTTGAACTTTTTAACGAGCACCAGTCAAATTCTTATTGGTGCGCTATCCGGATAATACGAAACCCACCAATCGTACGCAAGGAGCCTTTGGATTGGAGCACCATACACCAATCACACGCCGCGATTGGACAAAAGATCTGGCATCGGCCCGCAACCGTGCGATTCGAGCTTGCTATGGACGGCTACGAGCAATGTGGCACGTACCAGGTCCGAGCCAGCGCGGTACCGACGGCGACGACCGTGCTCTCGGCGCTCGAGTGGCTCGGTCGATGCAACGGCGAAGCGCCTTTTGCAGGCGACACCATGGACATGCAGTACTAGTATGTAATTATTGGCCAGCACCACCGAGATGCCTATACTACTCCAGCCATGCGCAGCTGCCGAGCGGCTTGGTCAAGCGGTACACAGCTGCGTTCGTCGTCTTGTCGACCTCGATCGAAACGTGGCCAAAGACCTCGTCATCAAGGCCAGTGCCAATCTCCAAGCCGCGCTGGTGAATATCGAGCGTGCACATCAAGCTCAAGCGCACGCAAGCAGTGGCGTCGCCCTTGTCGTCGCAGAGCACTGCGAAGCAGTCGGTGCCACGCTGGCTCAAGCACGGCGACTGCCGCATTGCCGGCATCGTGTGGCCAAAAGCATAGATACCACCGCCTTGAAAGTGGAGGCCCGGTGTCTGCAGCAGTGTTCGGCCCATGATAAAGCGCCATAGAAGCTGGTGCTTGTAGTCGTTGAAGGCTGGCGATGCAAACTTGGAGAGGGTTGCGCCCGCTACGCATAACATCTCCGTACCGCTCTGTCAACGAAACAAACACAATACCGGAGGGCGCGATGGGCGCGGGCAGCAAAGGCACGCGGCGCCACCCCAAGAGCATTGGCAAGAGACTAATCGTGAGGAAGAAGACAGCGAGCGCATACAGGATTTGAATCGCGCTCGGGTGGACGGCCGGTGCGTTGAAGAACCAAACGTACAGCTGCACACACAAACTCGACTGGCCTTGCACATACGTGAGCGGCCCCGCGACGAGCGTGGCAACGAGCCAAAGAACCGTCGGGTCGAGTGGCGTGAAGCGGTCTTCAGCTCCGTACATTTTGAGGACGCGACTCAAGCCCGAGACGAAGGCGTACGCGAGCCACGCCTACGGAAAGGTGACGGATCTTGACCACGAGACGTCGGACGTACAGTGCGCGAGAGGTAGACGTAGGCGGTAAAGTGAAACCAAAGAGCATCCACTTGAACGACCGCGAGCATGGCCGAGCCAATCACGGGCGCGCTGAGCCATAGGTCCAGACACATGCCCGTCGTAGATACAATGTCGACGAGCGCAAGGCTCGTGGGGTCGCCAACAAACAAGGTGACGCGCGACGCTGGGTAGCGTTGGCAGGATGCCATTGCCTCGAAGACGACACGGTAGTATTGGTGCCACATGAGAAACGCCATGTGCAGGACCAGTGCCATGCGAAGCAGCAACTTGCCTTCCAAGAAGCGGACCGACGGCGACATGCGAAACGAGCTGTAGTACGTAAAGACACCGGGCGCCGACGCTGCGGATGCATCCACGTCGTTCCCAGGCACGATCCACATGCAGATGATGGACACTTCGAGGTGCAGTGCGTGGTTTTGCTGGCAGCCTCCGACGCCGCGAAGCGATGGCTCGGCGGCAAACGCGCAGAGCGTGTCTTGAAGGCTTGTACTGAGGAGCGCGCCATTGTTGAGCGTGTACACAAAGCTTTCGTGGCAGGCACTCGCGAGAATGGGCTCGCTGAGGTTGAGTACCATGCGGTGCATGTCCATGCTGCACGCGACGTCGTGCTCGTATGGCGCGCCTGGCAGAAAGGTCGCCCTAGCGTTGCGTGCATCGACGAGGTATCGCTGCCGATGCGTTGTACCGGTGTTGGCTGTAGTTGAGCCAATATGCCGACGCGTCGTGCCAGTTGGCGTCCGCGCGCGGGTGGTCCGTCGGCGTCTCGACCTGCCACGGGTAGCTCTCGTACAGATACGCTTGCATCGGCTAGGGAATGGACCATGATCGATCGAGGAGCGTATATGGAGCGTACGGTCAGGACGACGTAGAGGGCCCATGCGAGGCTGACGTAGAGCGACCGGCGGCTCACGGCCACGACGGCCGCGGGCCGACTCGGCGCGGCTGGCTGCACGGCCGACATGCCACGAAAACGGCAAAGATATCTTGTCCATTTGTAGCCAATCAGAACGCGACCACCTCTTCAAGTGGCATCCAATTGGTCGCCCATTTATGAAGCATTGAATACGCTACTCTTTCTAAGCCAAAAATACAGCCAACACAGCTTGTCAAGAGCAGAACGACCGTAATATTGTCAAGGACATGAAAACATGATATTGTCAGTCGATACAACGAGAGGCTACTCGAGCCAGCGACATTGGCCGTGGTAGGGCTCGACGATGACGTAGGAGAAGGCGCCCGTCGCCTTGTCGACTTCAACTGACATTTTGCAAAACGGCGCGTCGCCCTCCGCCTTGGCCATAATGACGCTCGACTGATTCGTATCCAAGAGCCGCAGCAAGCTCACGCGGATGCATTCGGTAGCACGTCCTTGCTGGTTGAAGACGAGCACGTAACAGTCAAGACCTCGTTGACTGAGCCCAAGCGCGCACCGAAAGCTCGGGTTAGCATGGAAGCACGCGTGCAGGTTGCCGCCGTGGAACACAACATCCCGCGTCTGGGCCACGGGCATGATTTGGTACCGAAAAAGCATCCGGTGTTTCCAGTCGTTAAAGTCGAGCGACCCAAAGATCGTGACGAGATCGAGCCCTAGGCGTGCCACGTCATCATACAAACATCAAGATATATATAAGTCGCACCGGACGGGATGACGGTGGACCGAGCAAGGGGGCAGCTTGCGAGGCCCAAAATGAAGGGTAGCGTGGCGATCGTACTTAGGAAGAACGTGGTCGCGTACCCGACTTCGATCGTGTGGGGGTCCGGTGCCTTGGCGTTGAAAAACCAGTGGTAAATGCGGGTAAAGAAGGCGCTATGGCCTTGTTGATACGTCAACGGGCCCGAGACTAGCATCGTCGCAATCGAGACAAACGTGGGGTCGACAGGGGAGACGCGTCGCTCCATGTGCAGTCGCTTGAGGATTGGTGACGCGACGGCGAGCGCAAAGTAGGCGATCCACACCTAGTACATTCATTTTCAGATTCACATTCACATTCCAATGCAACGAGAACCATGCGGGAGAGGTAAATGCAGCCGAGCATGAATTGCCACGTGTCGTCCAATTGAACAGCCGCGAGCGTCGACGAGCCAATGACCGCGGCGCTGAGCCAGACGTCGAGGCTCATCACGAGTGTCACGAAAGGGTCGAGCAGAATCAAACTGGTGGGGTCCCCAAAAACACTTCGCACCGGTGGCCCTCCACGAGGGTGCAGTCGCGCAGCAAGTCACGGCAATGCCGATAATAGTCAAACCAGAGACGGTAGCCAAGGTAGAGGAGGAGGAGAACGCGCCACGTAAGCTTGACGTACAGAAAAAGGATCGACGGGCGCATGAGGAAGATGTTGTAGTACGTGTAGATACCCGGCGTCGTCAAAGATCGGTCGAAGTCGTTCCCGGGTGTGAGCCACGCGCAAAGAATGCTCTGCTCGATCCCGGCCACGACATTCTTTTGGCACGCGCTAAACGCGTCAAGATGGGTCGCATTCGGCCTCGCTGCAAACGCACAGAGCCGGTCTTCGAGGCTCACGCTTAAAATCGGGCCATTATTGAGCTTGGCCAAAAGGCTTGGGCGGCATTGATCGAGCGGAATCGGCGTCGAGAGGTTGAGGACCATGCGGTAAATGTCCGTGTTGGTCGCTGCGTCATGGGAGTAGGACATGCCATCACGAAACGTCTCGCACGAGTACCTACACCAAAGGAATTCGGTATCGTCGATCCGATGCCAAAGGCGGGTACCGATCATGGGCAAAGACGAGCCAGAATGCTTCGACTTGCTGCCACGTGGCGACGGTCTCGACCGACGGCGGTGTCTCGAGCTGCCACGGAAAGTTTTCGTACAAGTAGGCGTGCAGGGGCTAGGGCAAAAGCGCATGAGACGACACGACACCGCGTTGGTTACCGTTAAGAGAAGGTAGACAGTGATACAGGCGGTCGCTACCCTGGAGCGTGGGTGCTGGCGCGCCGGTGTGCCGGTCAATCGTCGTGGTGCGGCCGCAGGGCTCACTTGCTGCATTGGATACAATAGTCTAGCTATTTCGGGCTGTCGACGGTTGAGATGAAAGCGACGTCGCTGATTTTGGACATGCCGTTTTGGCAGGTGGGTCTCCCGGCAGTGCCTCTGCACGATCATCCATACTCTACCACCGACGTGGGCTATGACGAGGTTTCATTCTTCCCTCTCACGTTAAATCTCGCTTTCCGATGACGCGGACCGGTGTGACGACACGCAGTCGTATCGCATGACGAAAGTTTGACGTGTCTGAAGCGTTTTCGATGGGCCGCTGCCTTTTGAAGGGTCCTAGACTAAGACCCTCCAAATGTCCATCACAACGTTGGTTGGACTTCGGGTCAGGCAAAGAGAGCCGATCTTGTGTAAACCTCCGAGATAGTATATATCGATGGAGCGCAGAAGGCTATAAACAATTGCATCTCTACTCTATCCAATGGCACTGTCCGTGGGGCGGCTCGATGACAACAACGAAATCGCGCGGGTCGTCTTGTTGGCTTCGATCGTCAAGTGGCCAAAAGGTATATCTTCGTCGTCCTTGGCAACGACGAGGCTCGTCTGCGTCTTGTCCACGCAGCTGTACAAGCTCACGCGAATGCAGTCGCACGGCAGGTCGTCGTTGGCTGCGTACACCACGATATAGCAGTCGAGACCGCGCTGGCTCAAGCTCGGAAACTTGCGAAAGTTGGGGTACGCGTCGTAAAAGCTGTAGATGGTTCCCCCGAAATGGCGCAGTCGGCGGTACTTGGCCCGACACCGCAGCTGCAGCGCCAAGAGAAATCGGTGCTTGACGTCGTTGAACGATGGAAGGGCGTGGCGCAAAACCATATACGTCTCTGCACCAATAAGAATCAACCACGTTCTGAAGGCACCTACCCGTGGGGACAATGGAGGACTGCATGGAAGGACATGTGGCCAGACCCAAGACGATGGGTGTCAAGCCGACCGTGCACAGAAAGAAGAAAATGCCATAGCCAATTTCGATCGAGTGCGGGTCCGGCGCCTTGGTGTTGAAGAGCCAGAGGTACAGACGCGTGAAGAAGACACTGTGTCCTTGCTGGTAGGTCAACGGCCCCGCAATGAGCGTCGCTGCCATCGCCACGAGCGTCGGGTCCACGGGTGTGAACCGGCCTTCTATGTGCAGCCGCTTTAGGATCGGTGACGCGATAGCGAGCGAAAAGTAGGCAATCCATTCCTATTCCAATCGTACTCTAGTATCAAGTTGACACACCTGGTACCATGCGCGCGAGGTAGAGGCAGCCGAGCATGAATTGCCACGTGTCGTCGATTTGAACTGCCGCGAGCGTCGACGAGCCAATGACCGAGGCGCTGAGCCACACGTCGAGGCTCATCCCAAACGTCACGAAAGGGTCGAGCAGAATCAAACTGGTGGGGTCCCCCAAAAATACTTCGCACCGGTGGCCCTCCACGAGCGCGCAGTCGCGCAGTAGCTCGCGGCAATGGCGATAATAGTCCAACCAGAGACGGTACAGAATGTACAGGACGAGCACGACGCGCGCCGCGAGCTTGGCGTACAGAAACCCGATCGACGGGCGCATGAGAAAGATGTTGTAGTACGTGTAGAAGTTTGGACCGCTGCTGCTTCGGTGCATTGTGAGGTCGTCGCCGGGCGTGAGCCACGCACAGACGACGCTTTGCTGGATGCCTCCGAGCTTGTTGTCCTGACACGCTGCGACAGACGCTACGAGGGAGGCGTTCGGGCTCGCTGCAAAATTGCAGAGCGTGTCTTGGAGGCCTTTGCTCAAAATCGCGCCGTTGTTGAGCTTGGTCAGAAGCTTCGCATTGCACTCATCGAGTGGAATCGGCGTTGAGAGGTCGAGGACCATGCGGTAAATGTCCGTGTTGGTCGTCGGGTCATGGCAGTAAGACGTGCCATCGAGAAACGTCTCGGACGAGTACCTAACGCGGCCATGAAGGACGAGAGTTCGTGCATACAATGGTGGCAACCGGTCTTTGGCAAAGAGGAGCCAGAACGCCTCGGTCTGCGCCCACGTGGCATTGGGCATGATCAAGGGCGGCGGGTCCAGCGCCCACGGCAGATTCTCGTACAAATACGCGTGCAGCGGCTAGGCGTACAGAAATCCATATTCAAAGTGGACTCGGGACCACGAGTTACCGCGCTTGCTACGTAGGCGCCAACAAGACTCGCGAGGAGCATTGAAAAGATATTGAGCTGCACGGGCGTGCCACCCGGCGGCCGCGGCATCGACAACGGCGACACCCGCGACATGGCGCGTTCAGTATTGATAGACGAGCCTTAAATTAGCTCCTTCGGATCAAAGGACCCTAATATAGCGCCTTTTCGACATAGGACGTTCCGTCTTCGTGGCTCGTCCTGAGGAGCGACAGCGAATTCGACGACCAAAAGCTCGGGTGCATCTGTTCTTTGAGCTAGGTTCTACCTTGACAACACCAGTTGGATAACACTTGCCTTGCGTTGCTCGTCGCTACGAGCATCGTCACTGTACGAGCTTGCACTCGCTGGCCCTTTAAAAGTCGAGAGTTGCCATCCATTATAGCTCAGTATGATGTGAAGCGTTCAAAACTGGAAAAGCGTGTTTGTGGGGGCTTACAAGACCGCGTACGTCGTGGCCGGGCCCTTGGCGCCGTCCTCAGTGTCCAAGCCGGACGTCGTCATGCGGCGCAGCGAAGGCGCGTGCAGCATCGACGCGTTCCATTTGGCGCGCGTCGCGAGCGCGTCGACGAACGCTCGCAGCGCATGGCTCGAATCGTCCTTCTTGGGCTTCTTCGGCGTCGCTTCCTCGTCGGCCGACGTGGCTTGGGCGACCATGTCGGCAAAGAGCCCGTCCTGCACCTCGACCAAGTCGTCGTACGTGCCTTGCTCGGCCACGACGCCGCGGTTGAGCACGAGAATCAAGTCGGCGTGGCGCGCCGTCGACAAGCGGTGCGTCACCTATCACATATATACATATCTCCTCTTGATACGTTGATACCATCCTACCGAAAGAATCGTCATGCGCATGGTTTTGGCCAACCGCTCGAGCGTGCGGACGATCGAGGCTTCCGTTTCGGGGTCCAGCGCACTCGTCGCCTCGTCGAGAAGGAGCAGGCTCGGCTGCCGCACGAGCGCCCGCGCCAAGCACACGCGCTGGACCTGGCCGCCGCTCATGTTGCACGTTGCGTGCTGCCCCATGACGGTATGGTACCCGTCCTGCAGCGTCGAGATAAACTTGTCGGCTTCCGCGAGCTTGGCGGCTTCGATGCACTCGGCGTCAGTCGCGTTCAATTTGCCGTACCGAATGTTGTCGAGAATCGTGCCGTTGAGGATACCGCCGTCTTGGAAGACGACCGCTGTCTCGGCCATCACACTGGGCTTCGTGAAGCGGCGGAGGTCCGCGCCGTCGACCGAAATCGCACCGGCCTTCAAGTCGACCGACTGCATGAGGCAGTTGAGGAGCGAGCTCTTCCCGCACCCGCTCGGCCCGACAATGCACGTGTACGCGCCCTTGGGAACTTTCGCCGTGAGACCGTTGAGCACGAGCGGCCCCGTTGGCGTGTACTGGAAAACAACATCGTGGAACTGCAAGTCGGACGCCAGCGGCGGCATCACCTCCGTGCCCAGCGACGACGGCGACGACGACGATGTGGTTGGTGGCGGCGACGGTGGTGCGAGCGCGAGGAGCTGGTCGATGCGCTGGAGGCTCGATGCGTTTCCGATGGCGACGCGCATGAAGCCGCCGAGGACGGTCACGGGCGTCGAGATGCGCGCGAGCATCGTCACGAACGAGAAGAACTCACCGGCCGAGAGACTGCCGTGGCGGACTTGGATCGCAAGGCCGGCGGTCATGGTCGCGACGAAGATGTACATGGCCGACTCGACGTAGATTTGGACAATGCCGCTCCAGAAATCCTTGGCAAACTGCGCGATTTGGAGCGTCGCGACGACGGCCTTGAACTTGCGGACGAGGGTGGTTTCGAGCGCGTAGGCGCGCACGACCTACGTTGAAAACATGAAATGTGGTCTAGAAAAGCATGAAAAATGGACAAAATACCTTTTGACACGCGACGGCGTTGGCAAAATCCGACGCGACGTAGGCATTTTTCGAGCCAAAGAGCTTGCTCTGCTTGGCCGCAAAGCCCTGCGGACCGGACGTGACGAGCACGAGCGCAAACGCAAACGAGAGGAGGCCGAGCCACGGCTTGTAGTAGAGAAGGTACCCGAACCCAAACGCGATCGAGACGCACGGATTGATGAGGTTCCAAAAGACGGCTTGCCAGAGCCCGTTGACGCGCGCGAGGTCGCTCTGGAAGACGTTGTTGAGGTCGCCGTCCGAGCGCGTGAGGAAAAACGCCGCGCTCTGCTGCAGCACCGTGTCGAGCAGCGACGTCTGGACTTGGGCCGTCGCTTTCGAGATCATTTTACTCTGAAAAAAGCCCATGAGCGCATCGCCAAACGCAAACGGGATGCAGAGGCAGAGGAGCCCGGTGACACCGGTCGCCAAGGCCGCGTCCAAGTCGGCGTCCGAGACCGTTGCGTTGGCCGAGGCGCCGTACGCAGGGAACGCGTGGTCGGCCAGGTGGTTGAGCACATAGGCTTGGATCGGGTTGATACTCGCGTTGATGCAGACCACGAGGCACACCATGAAGAGGTCGCAGCGCTGCGTGGACCAGTGCCCAAGCGTACTGCGCACGACGTCGAGCGTTCCGTATGCATGCGTTGAGGCGTCAATGTTGCGCAAGTACGAGAGAAAATCCGATGTTGGCACGTCCTTGGGCTTGTACAGAAGCGCTTTCTCGAGAAACACGAGCAACTTGTCGTGCGTCATGTCGCCTGCGTCGTTGCCGACTGCGAGCATCGAGAGATCGCGGTCCAGCGCGTCGATGGCGGCTGGCGCCATGCCCGGGATGCGGCGCAAGCTCAGGCGCACGCTCGCGACCGAGATGTGGATACGCTCAAAGTCGGCGCGGAACTTGTGGAACTTCTTGGAGAACGCTCGCGCCCGCGGCTTGAGCACAATGTGGAGAGCGGCCAAGAGAAAGTACCCGAGCACGCAGTTGTAGACGTGCGCGGGAACGTAGACGCGAAGGTACAGGAGGCTCGCCATCGCCAGCAGCACGACCAAGTCGAGGACGGACGCCACGTTCGTGCAGAGGAGCGTGCGCAGCGTCAGGAGACGCACCGACATGTCGGCGAGGTAGAGGGCCATGCAGCCGCACGAGAGCGTCACCGAGAGGATCACGTACCACTCAAAGCGGTCGAGGCTCGGCGACGTGAACGCAAGGAACACCATTTGCCCGAGAAAGTCGACGAATGCCACGAGCATGTACGTGTAGTGCCACTTGCGCATGTCGAGTAGCCGAAGCAGCTTGACGCGGGCGTCGAGGAGGTGCGACGGCGACGCAGTCGCGGGCGCGCTGCCGTACGTTGGCGCCGCCGCCAGCTCGGTGCGAACGTCGGCCATCGATCAAAGGCAGAAAGTGAGCCGACTTGGCCAAGGCAGTCTTTAATGTCAATGTTTTAATGTATGTTGATGTTTGTATTGAATGCCATGATTTGGAATTAAATTGCCATGCAGCGGCCACATATCACCCACAATCCGATGGAAGTGCAAACAGCTGCTTCCATGGCAATAGAAAAAGCAAGACTATGACGTGGCAGTCGCAGCCGGCCCGATGCTCTTGTGGCCGCATATCGGTCAAAGCGCATGTACCGGTATGTTCTGTACCAACCATGTGGACGAAGACAGCGCTGCCCGGAATGTCCCCATGAAGCGTCAAGCTACAAGGTTGGCGAGGTGCTAGCGTTGACGTGCCCTATACACGATGTACAATGGGCGGCAAGAGGCTGCCTTCGTCCATTAATAGCACATGACATGGCAATCAACCTGGCTGCGGCCATCCAAATGCATGCACCTGTATGGCTTCCGCGCATGCGATGGCAGCGTCGCTCGTTCGGTTGCTTTAGTAGAGTAATCGTCTTTCAACGATTCGGTACGCCCTTGGTCGACGCCCGAATGGTCCTATTGTTGTATAGACTGCAAAGACGAATGATATCGGAGCATTCAAATCAAACGTCTGAGACGATGCCACGTGTCGGCGCGCGGATTGGCTGCGCGGAGCCAATCCACGCGCGACAATTCGAAACCCCTGGCATCATGTATGTCCACCAGCGCATCGGTACCCGCCCTCGCGCTACTACGATCACTGACCTCTGGCACAGGCATTTTCTGTCACTGTACTTCGTTTGTGCTCGTGTGCTACACGCTCAAGAGCACGGATTGGGCCTACGATGCGGCCAGCCTCACGGGCATCGGTCTCTACGACCTCGGGGTATGACCTGCGCCGCGCGTGGATGCGACGAGCAACTGCGGATAGGGCGTCGGTGTCTCGATCAAACTCGTCGATGCAGGTATTAGCAAGCTCGGCTACGACGTCGTGGACCCGGACAAGTGGCCCGCGTCGTCGTCTGCCTTTTGGTCGGTCGTCCACATGTATCGTATATCTCCGTTCAACAATTCGCTGCGCGTAGCGCGATCGCGTCGGTGGCAGCGCACGATCCGTGGTGCCACTCGGCGGCGCAGTGCGCGCGTACCTTTCATGCGTTTGCCTTGCTCGCTGCTATGGGTGGGCTCTACGTCAGCACCCACGTCGTGCTCAAGCGCCGGTATCCGTCGTGGGACGGGGCGGGCCGCTCCGCGTCCTTGCCGTGGGCTACATTCCTCAGCTTTGTCCAAAGCGCGTCGCTGCTTATCGTAGTTGTAGCGTGGAGTGTGGCACAAAGTACGCTCTATTGCATGCCATCGCACGCCGTCGATGTACTAGGCGCCATGGACACGGTGTGCATCGCCGACAAACTGGCCAAGTCGGCGTGCGTGACGCTCTCGACAGGCTTCACCATTGCGCTCGTCAACGTCGTTCTCTCGCTCTTCGTGTTTGGTCTCTGGCGCGTGAGTCACAAGTGGCTCGTACGTCGGTGGTAGTCGAGTCTCTTGCAACGTTTACGCTGCCGTGTAGGAAGCCAAGGCGTCCGGGGCCCTTATGGACAGCTTCATTTTGGCAGCGAAAACAGGTCCGACACACTCATCGTGTTGGCGCCATGGAAGTCACTGGGATGTCTAGATGACTTGGACGAGGCGTTGGCGATCATTGCAGGGCGCGCCGACATTGACGGCCTCGGTACCGATGGCCGCAATGGACTGCATTGGGCCGCGGCCCTCAACCGCAGTGCAGTCGTGCACGTTTTGCTCAAGAAGGGCGCGCATATTAGCCACAGCGACGTACTGATGCGCCATTTCGTGTGTCGTCACATTCGTTGATGGCGTGTAGAAGGACGGATGGACGCCGTTGCACTGGGCGAGGTTCTCAATCTCGTGTTGCCACATTCATCTCATCCGTGTAGCCGCATGGGCAACCCCGATGTGGTGCGGCTGCTTGTAAAACACGGCGCTGACGTGAACGCCAAAGACCCGTGGGGCACGACGCCGCTCATGCTCAGTGTGCTTGGCAAAGCAAGACGAGCACCATGTGCCTCCTCGAGCTCGGCGCGCACGTCAATGCCCGCAACGTACACGGACACGGCTTGTTGTATCAAGTTGATACACTAGTCGCATCTAGGTCTTTGGACAAACCGTGCTCATGATGTGTGCGCAAGAAGACGCCGAAATGCACGCATTTGTGGTCTTGCTCGTCAACGCCAACGCGTCCTTGAAGCTACGCGATGTATTCCAACGACGTTCTCTGGACAAAAGATATAACGCATATGCGTTCTTAGAGCCAAGGCATGAACGTGCTGCATTACGCTGCCGGCGCGGGCCTCAAGAACATTGCTGCCACGCTGCTCGAGTGCTGCACACCGGCGGAGATCGGGCAGCTCAACAAGGTCGGACTGGCAGTTGCCTCGACCATCTGGAGTACTATGAAGTGATCGATTAGTTTGGCGACTCGCCGCTCCACGAAGCGCGGCTTCGACAGCGCAAGACAACCGCTGCCATTTTGGAAGGCAATCCCAATGCGATGCTCGAGGCGTCGAGTGGCGACGACTCGAGCGACGAGTACGAGCTGCGGTCGGACATGAGCGACTCGAGCGACTCGGGCGAAGAAGACAACGAAAGGGCTCGGTAGCTGACTGGGAGTGCACACGACACGGATGATGATAATATTACTATATAATAAGAGGCGCCATTAGATCTTCAATTTACTCTGCATCGTCTCGGCCTTTATGTGGAGGAGCTTGGCACGCGCCGCTTGACGTTGCCGGACCTCGCTCGTGTGCTCGTGCAAAATGTGCAAAATCGGCTTCAGCCCGCGCTGGCGTGCCAGCGTGAACGCGCTGGGCGTGATCCACTTGGGCTCGTGCTCGACAAGGCAAAGGACGCTCTCCGGTCGGTTCTCAATGATGGCCTGGTGCAGCATGAAGCGCGTGTCGGTCAACGACGAGAGCAGCATCGAGCGGAGGAGGCCAAACACGCTGTACATGCCATCTTCCTGCATCTCGGTCACAAAGGCGCGCCACGCTTGGTACTCGGTGCGAACGGCGTGGGTCATACCGCCTTGGTAGGCCACGACCTCGCGGACCAGCGCCGGGTTGCCCAGGACGGCGTGGCTAGGAGGTAGTAAGAGGGCGCGGGGCATTTTGAGTTCTGGCGATCGAACGCGACGCTGGATGTAACACTGCGCGGCCCAGCTGGTTGCAGAGGCCTGCCAGCGTCGTGACACATGCGCAAAATTTCAAGTCCAGGTGCGTCAAGGACGGTTTTATGCCCAAAAGAGCACCGGTTGCAAGGTCTTGGGTGCAGATTGCGTGGGAATAGTCTCTGGCGTGGTGCATTTCACATCACGCCAGGAGCAAAGACGCTGGATCTTGGCAAGGTTAAAGAGCCCGTGATCACGTCGATGGCGTCGTGGTGTGGGTATAACCTCGAAGAAACAACAAAAACCGGGCCCAGAGGCCGAAAAAGCACGCGGCGCATCCATGGTTTTTTGCGGTTAAACTGCCCATGCTTTCGCTGCATCCCTCGATTGCATAATCTGATATCATGGGACAGATACACGCAATTTGCTGCATTGGAAATAATTGACGACCGACTGTCCCACTGCTCGCTCGATGGTTATTGCTCTCTACTGATGGACGAGTACAATACTACTTGAAATTGAGTTTAACTGCTGTGCGTCGCACCGTCTAGACGATGTCCTATGTGAGATGGCTGGGTTAAGATGTGGTATGCGGCGTTTCTGGTGCGCGACGGATCTGGTCACACATCGGACGCACAAAGCTTACTAGCCGAAGACGGGCTGGAGGCTGGCTGGACAAGGGATCAATCGTGGCGTGAGGGGCATACTTTGAGCCACATACGTAGCATTCTAGCTGTGCAATCTTTGGGGGTTAGTTGTGCGTGCAGCTATCTTGCTCTATGCCCTACCGGTTTTGGCGCAGCGGAGGAAGAAATGATCAGGCTGGGGGCGAGCTTGCACCGTCAGCTTGCAAAGGTGGTCACAACACACTGCGCTGCTTCGTAGAGACCCACACCTCCTGACGAGAAGATCACAGGGCTCGAGTATTCCCGGATTCCATAGCGCTAGAAGCTTAGCGCTATTAGGTAGAGCGAATGGGCACACAATGCAGTACGAGGCTATATGCAGCTAAAATCGTTCAAACGCATGGCATCATTCTCGCTGCTTATTCGCCCATTTTACACTCATTTTAACCAATCCGATGAAACGCCAGAAACACTCTTCGATGTTGCGTCGCTCAATCGCCCAAGAGCGATGAAAAATGATTTTGCCTTTGCTTTGCATGACGATAGAAGGCACTTTGTTGGTCAAGAAACGCTAAGCCACGGCTTCGTTGGACGCATACAGCTCAAGAAATCCACCAAATTGTTAATATTGACACATACCACATATAGACATATATAACCATATCTAAAGGTTCTTGTTGGCAGCGGTATCTGGATCGCATCCCTCCCTTCTGTAAACCTTGGGCTGCGAACCTTGGCGAAACCAAAGAGATAACTTTCTGCTCGTGTACACGTACAACATTTAAAAAACGTGTATGCGCGGCCTATAATTCTCGGGACGGAAGGACTGAGGAGCTCTGAAAACTAGTGCTAATACAAGTAGTACGCGGCTGCCGTCGGTGAACGAGGCCACAGCTCGAGGCCTCCAATTGCAGTGCACATGATAATCGACGCACCTCGTCCGGTTCGGTTGGCATAAAGGATTGGAAGATTGTTGAGGAGCTGCACGTCGAGGGGTTCTACCGACGCGGAAAACGCCGACCAGGTCCACCGCACGCTCAGATTTGAGAAGGACGCGGTGGCTTGAAGGTATGAAATCGCAAGATGTCGTCGCAGTCATAATCACACCCGAGATTGCGACAACGCGCCCAGTTTTCATGAATCGGTGACACGGAGCGGCGCATTTCTGAGGTTTTCGCTTCATACGTGTCGTTTGCACATGATCAAGGTCCAAACGTCACATCGATTCTATGAGACTGACTCTATAATGCATTGCGATCGCAGCCCTATTGCCCATAACTTTCGTCACGCATCTTTGAGCAAGCACAGGCTTGGCGAATATGACGGAAGTCTTGATGACGATACCTGGCTTCGCGGGCGTCATGTCCAAAGACTTCCTGTCGCACGTCGCAGTCAATGCAAATGAGAGCCAATGAGGGGTCCATGGAATTCGACATGGTTCGCGCCTCTTGATTCGAGCGGCGTTGCGTCATCTGCGTTGGGGCATAATGTTGTCTCTCGTCCCATGCAGGCAGTGGTCTGGGCCGATAGAGTTCTTGCCACAGCCAATTCGTCCCGAAACGCTCTAGCTCTCTGGGCATGGCCACACATGTCCTTGCAGTCAGTACCAGAAGCACGGCAGGCAGATCGCTGATGTGAAAAGAGACGATCGGGCTGACGATGTGGGCACAACGTGATCACCCCTTTTTGGGTGGCCCCCCACGGGGTCCCATGAAATGATATTTTGAGAGGAAGTTGAAGATGGAAAAGATCGAACTCGATCGATCATTTTCGAATTTGTCGCGCCATGCACCTCACCGACGTGCCCACAGACCTACTGAGTCACACGCTCAGCTTTCTTGACGCGATGGACCTCCGCGCGGCCTCGGTCGCGTCCAAGGGGCTCGCGTCCGTGCCCACGGAAAGCCACTGGGAGGCCCTCTTTCGCGCGGCATGGAACCAACTCAACGCGCATGTCGCCAGCAGCGAGACCTTGGAGCTCTCGCCGGCTCTCCAGGCAGCTTATCCTATGTGCGGTTGCGACACCAAGCACATATCGTGCTCATGGCAGAGCCTAGGCGGCGCGACTGCTTTCGCTGGCTCACACAGGTTGTCGCGCCAGTCCCGACGAGCGCCGACATTGCGCACACCAATGTCCTCGCCAACCTCTCGTCCAAGCACCGGTGCGTTTTCTTCTCTTGAAAGGCAGGAGACCGATGCATGTTAGGATCGAACCGGTGGCATTTGACGATGCGACGCATAGGCGCGTGACGGCGATGGCGCTTGGCATCGACAGCGTTGGTGGCGACCGGTCGATCCGCGCCAACACGCCGTTTCCGCTCAGCCCACGCGTGCAATTGACCAAGGCATCGCCGCACACTTGGCTTGTCGACGTTGTGGCCGACGCGTATTTTGAGATTACGATTATGCAATCGGCGAGGGGCTCGGCCATCGCGCTGCCAACGAAGTAATTGACCTTGTGCAGGCCCGAGCCCTCGACTCACAGTGGCCTCTAGTGCACTCGTGTGCGTTGCTATCGGGCTCGGCACCAAAGACTTTCGCGTCATCGGACAGCAACCTGGTCGCACAGCACAATATACATGGACTCACGCGAGCGGTAGGCTGGGACGCGCACTCGGTCGGCTACCATAGCGACGACGGTCGCTTCTTTACCAACGGCCAGGTAGGGGGTCCTGCCATCGAGACGCAGCAAGGTCACGGCGCAGCGTAGGCGCATCCTTCGCATTGGGCTTTGGCGTGGGGGACACACTCGGCTGCGGCCTGGTTCGCAGCGCGCACGGCTCGTCCGTCTACTTTGCCCGGAACGGCCAGCGCATTGGTAAATCGTTGCTGTTGTCTGTGTGCTCACAAGGAGGAGCGTTGGCGTAGGTTGCTCAATGCCATGCCCGCATGCGCCATTGTACCCTGTCGTGGGACTCGATGCAGCGTACTCAGTCACGCTCAACTGCGGCAGCAGCCCTTTTCAGTATGCACCGACGCTGCAAGGTGACGTGGCGGCGCTCGCCAAGGCGCCGTGGCCCCAGCGAACCACCCACCCACCGCAATGGCCACCCTCGCTTTGGCTGTGGGCCCTCCTCGGACTTCTCCTTCTCGCGCAAGCTGTGGTCGAATCGGAACGACGACGATGAATATGAAAAACGTGCAGTGTTCCATCGTGTGGCATCGCACATTAGACTCGCGAGATCTTGCGCGACGAGCCGGGACCCATGCGCCGCTTGCCGCTGGCGCTAGTGGACAGAGGCGGCGGTGAGCGAACGGAAGTGGCATTGATGTTCATCGTACCTGCGCTGGAGGCCGCCAAAGGTGTCGCCAAACATCATGTCCGAGTCAAACTCGCCTCGGTCGCGGGGCGCGTTGCTGCGCGCCTCGGCCACCGCCGCCTTGACGCTGGCCTCGAGGGCCGCATTGGCTTGGAATTGGTTCGTCGCGCGCCTGGGACGTGTGAGGAATTCCATGTCACAAGGAAGAAGCATGAAGCATACGTGAGGACAGTGTCCATCTCGGCGACAACGTGCTTGGCGTCGGTTTGCCTAGTACGAACATGAGAGGCCGCAACGGCGTAGGAGGAATGTACCAGTCGGCGAGACGCGCAATCATCGCGTCAATGTCGGCGACTTGGACGTCACGGCCCACCGCATACTTGGTGTCGACGCGCTGGTTCTTCTGGTCGAGCTTGCCTTCAATGAGGCCCTAAACGCTCGCACCCATGAGAATCGTCGTCGACATACGCACGTCGTACCGAGTACATGGTCTCGATGATGATGTCTTCGACGTCCCGGACGACATCAATGTGAAGCTCGTCCATCAAGACCTTGTACGGGACCTGCTTGTACTCTTGGCAGAGGCTCACGACCGTGAGCTTGCGCAGCTTGAGCTCTTGCGCCGGCGTGAGCACCGGAACAGCGCTGGCCTCCTTCTCGCGGACGTAGTCCTTGAAGCGACCATGGGCGAAGATCGTGAGGAGCCGGTAGTGGCTCTGCTGGTCCGGCTGGTCGCTCTCGGCGAGCGCCATGACGTTGGGCATGTGGAGCAGCTCGCCAAAGCAAAGAGCTTCTTGTTGGAGAGGACTTGCTGGATCAGCGCCATGCAGGCGCGGCCGCGCGCGGTCTTGGCCAGGAGCGTGAACTGCTCGAGGCTGCCATCGTCTGTCGCCACCATCGCTCGATCTTCACAAGGGCCAAAGTCGGTATCCGGATACGCCGCCGCCTTCAAAGCGCACCTGTTTCGCCAGATACGCAAAGGCGCACCTGCTCCGTCCTCTGATCGCGCGCCTCGTCGGCTCTCGCTCCTGGGATGCGAGCCGACACTACGGCCGCATCCTTCTACGTATGTGTGCTTTGCACGGGCGTCGAGGCGCTGGCGCATAGGTTGTTGCCATTGTCTGCGAGATCCTAGTACGTCGTTCTCGCATCCTTGGCGAGGCGATGACGTGGCGCACGTCCATCGCTGCGCGACTGCCATCACATTTTGGATTGCCTTAAACCAGTCGAGGTTCGCTCGCAGTCTTGCATGTTCGCATTGGGCGACCGCTGCAAGACTGGCAAGGGTACAGTAGCTGGCAAGGGTACGGTGTGCAGTGTAGTAGCATTGTCGGACTTGTCGCTTGTTTACGGAGAGGCTGGTCGCGGCGGAAGCCTTTTGTCGACTCGACGCGGTCCGCCCGGTCGGTAGTAGCCGTGGACTCGTGGTGCGATCGATGATCGGCGAGGCTCCGTCGCTTGCCCTTGGTCGTAAAGCTCGGATACATGTAATATCTTGTGAGGTTGCTTTGGCGGCGCCCGTCGCTGGCGCCGCCGACCCCGTCGTTCGTGTCTTTGCGCCGCCATCCATCGGTGTCCTCGGTCTTCCGCGCACTGGATACCGCTGTGTAGTGGTACCACAGACATGGAGGACTCGTTGGGTGGTGGCGTAAGCAACACGGCCGCACTTCAACCCACCGACAACTCGCTACGACGATGCACCAAGGCATGTTCCATGCACGCTCTCGTTGTTTGCGTTGCAAGGGCTTGCGTCGTCGATAATGTGCAGTCGTAACGATCGTCTTGATCGTATCTGGGCTGGTGGTGTGTGCTTGTCGTCGTCGCCGCGACCAGGAATCCTGAGAAGAGAACATCGACTGCGACTCCCACGGCAAGTACTAGTACTATATAGAGGACGACACCTATTGGGTTCCAACGACCACTCCTAACAGCGTAGCTCAGTATACTGCGGTGCGGTCGGGACATGGGCGATGCGACGTCGTAAGTTGTGCAGAAAGCGCGGCGCCCGCTTGTCCTTTGCTCGGCGCCAAAGAACTGGCGTCTGATTGGCCGTTGCCCGATCTTTGCCCAAGGCAGCGTCCAGCATACTCTAGTACTACATCGGGCTATCATAGCACCCAAGAAGCCCCACGTTGCTTTGCTGGACGAGATCATTCGACGTCGGTGGCGCCAGGCTGAACATATCGCAGCCGGCAATGCGCGAGGATTTGCCGCTGCTGGCAGCCTTTGATTATTGGTAGGGGCTGGTATTTAATTTCTTTTTCTGCTATTTTACGATTGGCCCGTGGGATCTCGAAGTTGAGCTTCGAGTGTGCCCGTGCAGCGCGTTTTTGACGCGGCGTGTTTTTATCCTATTCACTTGAATTTTGTAGCGTGTTAAAAACGGGGATCGATATTTGGCGTACTTCGACGAAGTTGGTGGGAATTGCCTTATACAGTACAGCCGACACGCAAGTTTGAAGCGGGTCTCACTCAGAATATTCCCCTCGCGATGGACGAGAGCTCGATCCTACTGCGTGGCCAGCGCCTCATGCTGGACATGCTCGAAGACGTAGGCAGCCTCTTCACGCCCGCCCAAGACAAGCCGCCCGAAGACGACCGCTGGCACGACCTCGCGCGGCCGACGCTCGCGCGCATCGTAGCGGAGCGCATGACGCACGTCGTTGACGCCGACACGAACCCGCAGCAAGACGACCACGTCGAGGACGACCTCGTCGAGCACGCGGTGGTCCAGGAGGTGCTCACCTACCTCGTCGAGAAGCGCCTCATGGGCGCCCACATCGCGCTCACCCAAACGACGACCGACGCGCAGATCCTCAAGCACCAGCTCACGACGATGACGCAGGATCGCGACCACGTACGTAGTATATACCGTAGTGTGCACCTACATGTGGACATGGGTGTCATGGATATACGCAGATGCGCGAGGAAGTCCCGCCGGGCACCGACATTAAGCTTCTCGCGTCGTGGGCACTCGAAGAGCTGGACGCGTCGGCGCCAACCAGCACGACCTCGAATCTGCAGCTCAAGGAGACCATCCGCTTCCAAGAGAGCACATCCAAGCGCTCCGTCATGAAGTTGCGGCGCTTCGCAGAGGCACGTCGCCCGCCAGCTCGATCGGGTCGTTCAGCTGGACCAAAGATCCGGCCGCAGACGCACTCCGCGACTCGATCCGCGACCTCCGAACCGACGTCAACCAGCACCAGCGCGAGCAAATCGACCTGCTCGAAGATCACATTGCGTCCTTGGAGGCGCGCCTCGTCGTAGCGACGCGCGAAGCCTCGGAGCTACGTGAACTCAACGCGGCGCTGGACGACAACAACCCGAATCCGTCGGGCTTTGTGAGCGTCCTCTCGTCGCTGCAGTCGCAGATCGCGACGCTTGAAGCGGCGCTGCGCGAGACTGACATCGACCACGTCGCGCAGCTCGACCGCGAGAACGCGGCGCTCCGGCGGCAGCTCGAGTCGTCTGTGGCGCACAGCCCCGACTGCCACGCGAATTTTGAAGGCGGCTTTTGCAGCGACCTCATCAACACGCTCAAGGCGGAGATCCTATCGGCGCGCGAAGAGCACCGCACCGAGACGATCGCGCTGCTCGACCATGTCCATGAGCTGGAGGCCATGAACGCGCAGCTGACTGCGACCGGCGACGTCGAGGCGGCCGCGCGCCACCTCCACGAGGACAACATCCGGCTCCTCGAGCAAGAGCACGGCTTCCGCGCGCAAATCGAGGCGCTGCAGGCCGACGTCGGCAGCATGGACGGCCAGATTGCGCACTTGCGCACCGAGCGGCAGCTGCAAGAGACCGAGATCACCTCGCTCATGGGCACGCTGACGCCACTCATGGCGGCCCACGAAGAACTTGTGGCGGCGAAAGCGGCGCTGGAAGACAAGGTGGCAGCAATGGAAGCCGCGAGCTGCGACCAGTGCGCGGCGCTCGAGGCCAAGATCGCGGATATGCATGCGCAGATTGACGCGCTCCACGCCGACGTGCAAGCGGCGCTCGAGGCCAGCGCGCCGGTGGTGACGCGGCACGAGTCGACGATTGCCGACTTGACGGCAGCGATCGCGCGCCTCGAAGACAAGCTGGCGCACAACGCAGGCGAGTACGAGCGCAGTATTGGCGAGCGCGACACGTCGATCGACGAGCTCCAGGCCAAGCTCCACGCGCTCAAGCGCGAGATCAACATTATGAGCCAGGACCTCGACATGGTCTCGGAGGAGAAGCAGCAGGTCGCGGACCAGCTCGAGACGGTCGAAGGCCATTTGGACGAAGTGAACGCTGCGTACGAAGCACTCGAGGCGCGGTTCGCGGCGCTCATGGCCGAAAAGATGGCGTGGACCGTCGAGCGCGATGCGTTGGTCGAGGCCGAGGCCGAGGCGAGCCGCCGCTCCACGCTCGAGCAAGAAAGTGCGCAGGCCGCGCACGAGATGGCCGCGGCGACGTGGGCGGATGAGCGCGCGACGCTGGAAAGTGCACTGGCCGACAAGGCCGACGCCCTTTCGGCTCTCGAAAACAATTTTGCGACGGTCCAGAGCGCGCTTACCGAGAAGACCACCGAGCTGAGTGCCAAGGACACCGCGCTCACGGCCAAGGTCGACGAGTTTGAGAAGCTGCAGATGCTCCTCGGCAAGTTCAAGGAGAAGCTGGCGGCGTTGCTGGCCTCCGAGAAGGCGCTGCAGGCGGACGTCGAGGCGCTCACCACTGAGAAGGCTGCTGCGACGACCACCATTGAGGCGCTTGAGGCGCAGCTGGCGGCGTCGGACGCCGCGCTGCAGACAGCAAACGACGACCTCGCGACAACGCATGCCGCCAAGGCCGACCTCGACGCGCAAATTGCCTCGTTGGAAGACCAGCTGTCTGCCGAGACGGCCAAGCTGGAAGCTGCCAACAGCCAGGTTGATGCGCTCACGGCTGCGTCCGAAGAGGCGCTGAGCCAGCTCGAGCGCCTCCGGGAGATCCACGAGAACCACGTGGCGACGACGACTGCCGAGGCTGCGGCGCTCCACGCCACCATCGCTGAGCTCGAAGCTTCGCGCGCAACGTTGGAAGGTGATGTGGCCTCGGCCAACGCGGCCTACGACGCGACCACGGCCGAGCTGGCTGCTGCCACGAGCTCGCTGGTGGAGCTCGAAGCGGACAAGGCGTCGCTCGAGACCCGCTTGGCGGAGACTTTGGCGGCCTTGGAGACGGCGACTGCGTCCGAGGCGGCGCTCCAAGATACGGTCGTGACGCAGGAGGCGGCGTCGGCGACGCTGCAATTGACGCTGGCGCACGCACACGGTCGCATTGGTGAGCTGGAAGCTGCCGAGGCCGCGCTGCGTGACGAAATGGCGGCGCTGGAGATCGCCAAGGACGCCGAGATCGCATCGCTCTCGTCGGACCTCTCGGCCATGACGACGTCCAACGAAGCGCTCACGACCGAGTTGTCGAGCGTTGTTGCCGAGCACGCAGCGGCGTGTGACACGTGGGCTGCCGAGTCGGCGGCGATTGCCGACAAGATGGCGGCCATGGAAGCCGAGCACTCGTCGACGCTGGACGAGACGCACGGCCGCCACGCTGCGGCAGTCGCAGACCTCGAGGCCGCCCTCCACGGCCAAATGACGTCGCTCCACTCGACGCGGTCGGAGCTCAGCGCGCAGATGCAGGCTCTGACCGAAGAGCAGGCGTCGTACAAGGAGCTGCATGCGGCCCAAGTCAGCGCACTCGAGACCAAGATTGCGACGCTCCATGCCAACTTGGCGGCGGCGGCCAACGAGAACGCGTTGCTGCATAACGAGCTCGCCGCCAAGAACGACGAGCTCTCGACGGCGACGGCCAAGCTTACGTCGCTCGACGCGCTCCTCCCGCGCTTCAAGGACAAGGTCAAGACGCTCACGGCGGCGCAGAAGAGCCTCGGAGACGATCTGGCGGCGGCCGCAAGCGAGAAGGCGACGTTGACGGCGACGCACAACGACGCGATGGCGGCGCTCGAGGCGAGCTTGGCGTCGCTCAACGAAACGCTGGCGGCGGCGACCGAAGAAAAGACGGTGCTGGACGCGCTCGTGGCCGACAAGTCGCACGAAGTCGCGACGCTTCAGGACCTCGTTGAGTCGTTCAAGGGCTCGGTGGACTCGCTCTCGTCGTCGCAGGCGTCGCTCGAGTCGGACCTTGCCGTCGAGCGCCAAGAACTGGCCTCACTCACGTCGACGCACGCGGAGGCCGTCGCGCTGCTTCAAAGCGCCGAAGCCACCGTGGCCACGACGACGGTCGAGCTCGCTGCCGAACGTGACGCCAAGGCTGCGCTGGCATCCAAGCTTGCCGCTGAGCTCGAAGCCAAGGCTGCATTGGAAGCTGAGCTCGCTGCCGAAGGGGCTGCCAAGGCTGCGCTCGCAGCTAGCCTCGCCACCGAGCTCGAGGCCAAGACGGTCCTCGAAGCCGAGCTCGCTACGGAGCTCGAGGCCAAGACGGTCCTCGAAGTCGAGCTCGCTACGGAGCTTGAGGCCAAGGCTGCGCTGGAAGCTGAGCTCGTTGCGGAGGTCGAAGCCAAGGCTGCACTGGAAGCAAAGCTTGCCACCGAGCTCGAGGTCAAGGCTGCGCTGGAAGCCGAGCTTGCTGCTGAAGCGGCTGCCAAGGCGGCTGTCGAGGCGGACCTCGCTACGGAGACGAGTGCCAAGGCGGCGGTGGCGGCCGACCTCGCCGCGCAAGTCGAAGCGACGGCTGCTGTCCACGCCGACTTGTTGAGCGAACGCGACGCCAAGGCGGCATTGACACTTGAACTGGAGACGACGTCGACAGCGTTGGCGAAGACCGAGGACAACCTCGCGTCGCTCAAGTCGCTCCTCGATCAGTTCAAGGAAAAGGTCAAGACGCTCGCGCTCGCCAAGAAGGCGCTCAAGGCCGAGCTCGCGACGGAACAATCCACGGTCGCGGCCAAGACGAACGAGCTCGCGGCCGTCTCGTCGCTTCTCGACCAGTTCAAAGAGAAGGTCAAGAGTCTCGCGCTGGCGCAGAAGGCGCTCAAGCAAGACATGGCAACGCTCGGTGACGAGAAGACGGCCCTCGAGGCGGCGGTCGCGGCCAAGGAATCCGAGCTCGCGGCGGCGCAACTCGCATTGACGCCGTGACAGCGGACCTCGCGACGGCCCGCGCAGAGATGGACACCACGACGTCGGATTTGACCACGGCCCGTGCCGACTTGGAAGCCATGGCGACCGAACTCGCCATTATCCATGCCCGCGCTAACGCCACCTCCGAAGACCTTGCGGCGGCCCTTTCTGCGGCAGACACGATGCGTGCGGACCTCTCGACGGCCCAAGCAACGATCGACTCGCAGACGAGCGAGGCGGTTTTGCTGCGCGACGAGCTCGCTTCGCTTTCGACCGACTTGACGGCGGCGCGCTCTGACGTGGATAGTAAGACGGCCGAGCTCGCATCGACGTCGGCGCTTCTGGGCCAGTTCAAGGACAAGGTCAAGGCGCTTCTGTCGTCGCAGGCCGCGCTTGAAGCCCAAGTCGCGTCCATGCACGACGAGAACGAGTCGCTCGCGTCGAGCCACTCGTCGTTGAGCAGCTCCAAGGGCGCGCTGGAAGCCGAGCTGGCGGCCGCGACGGCGGCCCTCGCCGATGCCAACGACGCCAAGACGACCCTTACGACGCAGGTCGAGACGGTCACTGCGGCGCTGGCCGCCAAGGAGGCCGAGCTTACGTCTCTCCAAGCCATCCTTCCGCGCTTCAAGGACAAGGTCAAGGACCTCCTCGCGTCCCAAAAGACGATGGAGGCTCAGGTCGCGGCCGCGGTGGCCGAAAAGGCGTCGATGGCTTCGTCCCACGCCGATGCGATCAAGTCGCTGCGCAGCTCCAAGGCCGATATGGCGGGCGAGCTCCAAGAAATGACCGCGCTCAAGGAGACGCTCAAGGGCCAGCTTCGCGCCATGTCCAAAGAGAAAGCGTCGATGCAGCACACGATGCAGACGGAGATCGACGACCTCGTCGCCAAGGTCGCCAAGCTCACGGCGATTGCGGACGCGCACAACGAGTGCGGTACCGCCGTCCAAGACGCGCACGCAGCGCTCGCGACGGCTAACGACGAGCTGGTCGCGGCGAATGCGACCGTGGCGGAGCTGCAAGAGCAACTGGCGGGCCTCTCGCTCTCGGAGCAGGCGCTGCACCAAGCCTTTGAGCAAGCCACGATGGAAACCAACGCGATGTCGCGCGCGCACGACGAAGCGGTTGCGGCGTTGAGCGCGCTCCAGAACCTCCACGGACCGCTGGAAGCCGAGCTGCAGAGCATGACGTACAAGAACATGCAGCTCAAGCAGGACCTCGACGTCATGTCGGAACAAGTTACGGCGCTCGAGCACATTTTGCAGTCGAAGGATGGCGCGCTCGACGTGCTCAAGGACCAATGCAAGGCAGCCCAGGCCGCGCTCGCCACCGCGCAAGCGGCGCTGGCCGAGAAAGACGCGATCGTCGCGGCCAAGGACGCGCAGCTCGCCGAGCAAGACGCCCTCTTGAGCGAAAGCGACGCGCTCATGGCCGAACTCGATACGCTGCACGCCATGTCGCGCTCGCAGCGGTCGTCGCGTGCGATGGCGATCGCGCTGGACCCGACGACGATTGCGCAAGAGTACAAGATCTTGCTCTCGGACAATGATGCGCTCAGCGCGAGCCAAGAGAACCTGACCGAGATCGTGTCGACGCTCCAGGCGCAGGCAGCGGCGCGGGCGACGACGGCCGAGATTACCGACCGCTTTGTCGCAGGCCTCGTGTCGACGCTCGGTCTGGAAGTCGACTTTCCGATCACGGAAACGAGCGTGCTGCAGGAGACGCTCGAGCAGCTCCAGGGCTACATTGGCATGATGTCGGAGGAAGCGGCGCACCACGCGCACGACCACGCGGCGTCGCTCACGACCGACACGTCGTGGCTCGATGCGATCCAAGAGGCCGACGAGCTCAACGAAAATGCGGACGCGCTCCTCGACCAGGCCGAGCAGTCCAAGGCCAGCGCTCTCGAGTACCACAAGGCCCTTCTCGCGCTCGCCAAGACGCTTCTGCCGTTGGGTGCCAACGAACTCGAAGCCGCCGTCGACGCAGCAACCGACGACCTGCAAGCCGCGCCGATGCTCCTCTCGGCGCTGCAGTCGACGCTCAATGCCGTGGTGGCGGACGTGGCGACGCTTGTCGCAGCGTGCAACCATGTGCGCCCGCTCCCGCAGCTGGCCGACGCTGGCGTGTGGGCGGCCGATGTCGCGCGCGGGACGCTGGTCGACAAGGAGCTGGAAACGCGCGTGCTCTCGGCCGTGACGAGCCGTCTCGGGGACCTCGGTGTCGACATCGGCGCCGTGCACACTCTCTTGGCGCTCGACTCGGTCTTGGATTCGGACGCGATTGTGGCCGCAGCTCAAGCGCGCGCGCACCACGACGCTGCGTACGTCAACGCCCTCGCACCGTTCGTTGGTGTGCAGTCGCTGCAAGCGTCCATGCCGCAAGTCCTTGCCATGCTCTCGGCGTCGGCGTCCCAGACAGAGACGCTGGCGGCGTTGTGCCACCGCGTGCGCGTTGCCCACGGCTTGCAAATGGTCGAGTACCCGACGACGCAAGCCGGTGTGATTGCGCTCTGGGAAGACACGGCCCATGCGCTCGAGGAGGCGTCGTCGCCGCTCAAGACGCTCAACGCCTCGTCCATCAAGGGCGACGTGGACATGGAGCAGCTCCATGAGATTCTGCACCGCGTCGACGACCGCTGCGAAGCGCTTCACGGGCAGCGTGACGACAAGGCATCGGTGCTCGTGGATGTTCTCGGTGCCCTCGACCTCGCCCGCGAGTGCCAACGCGCCGCCATTGCGGTGCTGGAGAAGCACAACCGCAGTTGCACGGCGCGGACCCGCGTCCAGATTGCCATGCAGTGCAGCGTTCAACGTGCGTTCCTTCGCTGGAAGCACAAGACGCTGCGGAGCGTCGCGGATGAGAAGCACGCGGCCGACATTGTCGCGCTCAAGGAAGAGCATTTGGCGCAACTCAAGCGCGTTCAGAAGCTCAACGCAGCCGACCAAAAGCCGACCCCGATCTCGGCCACTGTCAAGCCGACCGCGACGCCCAAGCCCATTGTGCGCACCAAGTCGTCCACCGTCGACATGGCCAAGGTCAGCGCCAAGGCCGCCGAGGTCGTCGACCAGCTCACGAAGCGCCGCGAGACGTCGACGGCAGCGCGCTTTGACCACTGGAAGCGACTCGCCGATGAGACGCACCGCCGCACCGCCAACCTGGAGACGTCGAGCGGGTCGGGCAGCCAGCAGTCGACACCCCGCATCCAGGGCCGTCGCGATAGCCTCCCCAAGAGTAGCCCCAACCGGTTCCACGTGGCCTTCAACTCGTCGGCGAGCCGTGGTCTCTTCCCGACAACGACGCCGACACCGGCGACCGCTGCGCGCCCACGTGTATCGATGGGCCTGCCGTCGTACAGCTCGGTGAAAGACCAGTCGTCGACGGTGCAGAACGCCGTCGACCGCATGAAGGACCAGAACGACCGCCTCGTGCGCAAGGTCGTGGCAGCGGCCAAGAAGAAGACGGCGACACCCTCGCCGTAAGTGTGTGTCAAGTTGTATACAGGATGTGCATAGCGTAGTTTTGAAGAATGTACTAGGCACTTAAAAAAGTACACTGCATTTCGATGACTCGAGTCTTCTCGGACGACGAAACATCGGGCTCTTGGTCGACGCATACGAGTGCAAGGCCCACGCCTCCATGAAGCAGTCTCGACACCGAGCCACATAAAGTAGCAGCCCGAACGACAGCGCACCGAGCCTCGATGGGGCGACCATCTCGCTCCGCCAAGGGTCCTTGAATAAACAGGCCTCGACCAGAAACGGTTTATGGACCCTAACCTCAACGCTCGCCGGCCGCCGAGCGAAACCAAGGCTAGAAGGACCGAGGGTTTATCATTCCCTTGGCCTAAACCATGCACTCTCTCGGACTCCAAAAGCGAATCTACGCGGCTCGACGTCATGGGTGCTGGCGACGTCGGTCCTATTCTCATGCTGGACCTTGACATACGAACGGTTGTACGACATAGTACGTACATGTGTATCCGTGACGCAAAGCATGGTCCCTGCTCCGACCAGCGGTTCCGAGCTTCTCGTGCATAAATACGGGTATCTTATGTCGTCCTTACACTAAGGGTACAGGACCGCAACGCTTTAGGATGACGGCACGAGCGCTGGCGGCGGGTTGTGCGACGCCGCCTTCTCGGCGAGCATGCTGTACACGTAGTCGACGGCGACGCCGCTGTACGACTTGCGGAGCGCGTCCTCCAAAGAGCGCGCGGCCTCGGACGCTGCGGGCGGGTTGGCGACCGATGCCGCGTTGGGCGGAAACTGAAGCGACTCGCCAAAGAACGGCGTCTTGGTCGGCGGCCGCGCGACCGTCTTGGCGACAGTTGCGTGCTTGGGTGTCGTCGCGAATCCGCTTCTCGGTGTCTTGGGCGTCTGCGGAAGGTACGAGAGGTCGAGTTTGACGTCCTTGCTGCTCTCCTTGCGCGCGAGTTTGGTGCCAAATGTCGGCGTCTGCGACGTTGACTGCTGGGGCGTCGACGGAAACAACTGCTGGCTCTGCGACGGCGACGCGGCGGCCGACGACGTGGCCGTAGTCGGCGTCTTGGGGAGGTAGCTCAGGTCCACGGGTGCGAGGCCACGGCGCGAGCTTAATGGCGACGGGTCCTTGGCGCGTGGACGCGACCAGGACGCCGCGCGAGGCAGCGGTGCCGGCATCATGTTGGTTGGCGGCACGGGTTGCGAGTAATGGCGGTTGTACTCTGTCGTGGCGGATCGGTACGAGGTGTTGGAGAAGGTCGAGCCCGCCGAGGCCGTCGAGTACGCGGAGGGTGTGCTTGGGCCGTTGGCGTTGTACAGATCGTACATGTTCATTTCGTTGTAGGCTTGCGTCGCCGACGAGTTGGCCGAGAGCAGCGAGAGCTCCGTGAGGTGGTCCGAGTGCTCGTTCTCGTTCGTGGTGACGCCAATGTTGCAAATCGAGCAGATGCGAATCTTCTTGATCGTCGTGCCCGGCACGTCGGCCGACCGGTGGAGACTGCACTTGGAGCAAATGACTTCGCCGCACGCGCGGCAGTGGTGCCGATGCCGGAAGAAACCAAAGCCGCGGCCGCAGAGGTTGCAGCTCGACCGCGTCGCCGCTGGGATCCACTGCGACTTGTCGAGGAGCGTGCACGTGGTCATTTGGAGCTTATCGACGATGCGCTTGAGCTGCACCATGCTCGTGACGACATCTTGCTCGGCAATCTTGTACGCCAAGTTGGACGGGCAGTACCCGTTCGGATCGAACCGGACCACGTGGTGCATGCGCGCCATCTTGGCTTCGGCGGCGTCCATCTGGTAGATGAAGCCGGCGAGGAGCTTCCCGCGCACAAACCCATGCGACGCTTCGAGCGACGGGCACTCGGGCAGGTCGATCGAGCTCAAAACGCGCACAAGCATGTCGTTGCCGCGCGCGTCGACGATGCGGTCGAGCACCTCGAGCACGCAGTAGTCGCGGTTGGTCACCATCATGCTCGCCGACTTGGTCGCATACCACTTGATGCCGACATATCGGTACGGATTCGACGCCGTGCGTGGCACGATGCTCTGGAGCACGGCGGCGTCGACCACGCGCGGGTTGAGCTTCTTCATGAGGCGGCGGAAGAGGCCGTCGTCGTGGGCCGCGAAGGCGCGCGCAATGTCGTCGAGCGACGCTTGCAGCGAGCTCTTGCAGCCGACCTCGGCGATGTTGCTCTTGCTAACGTTGGGCGCGAGGCGCGGCTTGGCGGTAAAGTTGCGGTAGACCGCCACGCCCTTCTTCTCGTGCACGGGCACCCACGAGTTCTTGTGGAAGTCCGAGAGCGCAAACACCTTGCGGATCGCCGACTCGGCGTACTCGGCGTACTGCAGTCGCTCGGCCTCCGTCATGTTGCTCATGTTAAAGTAGCCTCTTGGCAGCGGCAACGACGCCATCGTGCTTGGCGAATCTAGAAATGACAGGCGCGTGGTCGGGCCAAGGCCAGAGAGCCGGACTGCTACACGCGCGTCATTACACCCCAACTGTCTTTCCACGCCGACCCTCAAACTCAATTTCTGCACGAGACTCCGTGTAAATGCTCAAAATATCACATTGTTGAGATTCAGGCCATAGCGTCTGATCGGCGCTCGTGACGCGCCGCTAAACCAATCAATGCCAGCGCGTGCTACAATACTATTGCAGTGTCCATATACGTATTTCTCGGACGCGTCGATGCTAGCAGAGCGCTGGGGAGTTTGTCGGTGGGAAGACGGTGCGACGGCCACATACGCATGTACACTGTACGAGGAGCGCCTGGTTGTGTGGCGCCAGTGGTTGATGTCGCTGAGTCCGCACCGCCCACTCTAGCTTGCCGCTCCCTCTCCGTGTGCCGAGTCATCGATGGTCGAGACGAGGTAGACTCGGTGCGGCGCGACGCTCCAAGCTCCATGTCGCCGAAGCAAAAGGAGCTGCTGCCTCGTCGAGGCCTCGTCACGGGTGGTGGTGGAGTCACGGGTGGTGGTGGACAGCAGAGGTACTCACGAGTGGGGCACCCACGACCAAGTGGGTCGTCGCAACGCTTGAAAATTCGATACATTTTTCAACGCCGTTCGATTTGGGGTACGCAGCTGGAGAGATACAGTGTACTTCTGACAGCGTACTGGTTGGACTGGCACAAAATGTGGTCGAATTTAGACAGATACTACGCCTACAGTGTACCACGCAACGATGGCCGCGGATTCTGCGGGTCGACACCAGCGACGACGACGAGCTCTCGGCCTCTCGACTGTGAAAATGGACGCGCCAAAGTTGGCCTCGGTCATTACGACTCGCGTGTATGCGTCGTAGACACGCAGTCGTCAGCGTCTGGTTCGCGCGACACTGGATAACCTGCCAGGGAAGCGTCCACGTATAACAGCGTGTACAGTAATGCGTGGAGCCCACGGAAAGGACTGCCTGGCTACGCGGGTACTCTGTCTGATACAGGATTTGCCGCGGGCTGTAATTCCAGACAGGCACCACGGGCCGTGGACGATACTGATTCGCGGTGTTGGGTCCTGTGCTGTGCCATGCAACGTTCCCGCAACCTGCTCGGAACGCGCATCCTGACGATAGTGTCCATGGACTGCGGTGTCGACCAAGGAGGACTATGACCCATCGGCAGTGTTGACACGTGGGCGGTTGATCTTTGGCGAGATCCTTCGATGACCAATGCAATGTGGCCACGTCAACGCGACGGCGCTGTTGCTATTGCCATTGCGGTAGATAGATGATCGTCGCTAGAATTGCTTCGGTGCAACGAGCTTTCGAAAGGCCACGTTCCGACGTGCCTCTTCGTTCGTCGCGAGCTCCAGCAGCGTCATGAGGTCCGCGCCGAGCGTGTCGACGTCGGCGGCGCGGAGCTGGCGCAGAATGCGCATCGCAAAGCGAGACGTGGTCGTGGACCCGCGCCACTGGAGTTCGAGCCCGCTGATCGCCTTCTCGAGCAGCTCTTGGAGCCCGACGTGAAAGTGCGTAAAATACCGATCCCGCGACATTTCGTACAGAGCCCTAACCACACGAGGACATTATTGTCGCATTAAACGCGAAGGCGTTCAACGCACACCGCTCGTTCGACGTCGCAGTACCATGCTGGCTTGACATCGACGGATGGTCGCTCTGGGGACCTCGCAGCGATGGTTTTGGCCCGCTCGAGGATCCACGCCACACGATCGTCCTCGTCGTCACTCGTCCGTGGTGGAAGCAATAGAGGCTCTTGTACCGTCGTGTCAACGTGTTCAACCGATGGAACGCGACGGGGTCGTGGCACGCGCAAGCCCCCGACGCGCTCGTACGTGCGGAAAGCATGCACGACCAAGAGGAGCCAGCCCCGTGGCGTAGTCTTGCAGCAGCGATGGTACCACCGCTGGAGTTTGATCGCCGTGCGCTCGTGGCGCCGAAAGTCCATTGCCGGGTATTGCTCGGGGCTCATGCGTCGGATGAACTCGCGAACGGAAGCGTCGTACTGGCTCATGGAAGTCAACGCCGCAGCGATAACGCGTCGCACGAGCGAGGTATCGGGCTCTGGCGATGCGACGAGCGTGTGGAGAAGCAAAAGCATCGCAGGAGGTGCCAGCGACGTTGTACATGTCGGTAGATAATGGTCCGGCAGCGGGTCCAAAGGCGGGCCGAGGACGTGCAAAAGCAATTGCGCGCTCCAGTCGTGGCAGCCCCGCGTCGACAGCTCGGTGGCCAACGGGACCCAAAACCCAGCGTCACTAAGCGGCAGTGTCGTCCCGCATCGCTCGATTGCGGCGAGCATCCTTTTGGTCATGGTCGTGTCGCCCATGTGAGCATGGCATAGTGCCTGCGAGGTACAAGAGATGCGGAGGAAGACTTGTTGCAAGCGCATACCATCAGCGCATGGAGGTAGGGTCGACAGAGAGGGAGCGGTGGCGTCTCGACGAGCGTCTATCCACACGCGATCGATGAGACCACTTTGTTAAAGCAGTCGACGCAGCTCAAACTTGAAGACACTGGAGTGCACTGCTGTGTTCGTGGGCCATGTAGAGCACCAGCGCCGCGTTGAAAAGCTGAACTTGATAGAGCGGGTCCCACTCGGACGTGGCCGTGATGGCCTGCATCGCCAGCGTCACCGCGCCAACGACGTCGTTGCAGGCTATGAATGCACTAGGTCCTAGCCGTGTCTGCGTGCGCGTGGGGTATCGAAGCGCACCTGGCCAACGGGACAAGCAGGCGTGGGGGGAGCGTCGCGATGGCGGCGCCCCGCCACAGAGTCGGCATTTGCTTGAGAAAATACCCGTCGCGCCGATAGATGCCTTCGGTCGAGTGACGTCGGTAGAGCTCCTCGAGTCGACCAACGTCACGCGTGGCTGTGCCCTCGGTCATGACGTTTCAGAAAGATCCAATGCGCCGCATTCGATTGGTCCATTCCCAAGGGCTTTGCTGCGACGTCTTTGGCGCCAGAAGTGCAGATAGTAAAAAGATACCGCAATGGGCGCAAGGTATCTGGGCTGGCTGGGAAGCGCACAGAGAGGCAAGCTAAGCGAACAAGTACACTGTACAATGGCGTCTGGGAATGCGGCAAGACGCTGATGCCACCAAGCTCCCACCGAAGCGTGTTGATGTCGCGATCGTACATCAACAGGTCGTTGGATCTCCGCGACGACCCTTGGTGTGCACGCTACCTGGTCCCTCGCACAATCTCGAATCACGACCACTAACGCTCCTCGCTGACGCACCGGCCAAGCCTCACGAGCGCATTAGGAAGTCCACCATATCTTTATAATTGCATGTAATATGACTCAGTTCAACAACAACAGGTCGTTGGATCCAGTTCTTCTTTCGATTCAATGCGCCCGATCAGCTTTCAAGACCGGACGCGACGAGTCCGCTAGGAGTGGGAGGAGGGTGCAGAGCCAGGCGAGAGAGATGACGTACACCGAAACACATGGGTTGGGCCAGCTTGTTGAGCCGATTACATGACGAAGAGAAAAATATAAATCACTATGGGCATGGAGCACGGGTGCCGCGCTTCTAGCACCCTTGCTTGCTGCTTGTGTGTCCGTCACAAGTACTAGTAGCAGCGACGCATTCGGATTGTTTTTTCCCCACGAGATTGCACCAAAGACTTTGCACTTGGATTGTACTACCAACTTATATCATTGTAACATTGTAAACTTACTTGGCTGCATACGTTTCCTCCCAGCTACCCAACGAGCTCGACGACGACCAGAGGTACGGCATCGAGGCGCGCCCTTGGTTCATGTCGGGCACGTCTGCATAGAAATCCATCGTGTGAACATCGTGGGTACGGCGCCACGGCCGCCGCACGAGCACCTTGCCGCACATTGTGAATTGGTAGCCGCGGTAGAACCGGTCCGACGAGTTTGTCCGCACGAGTAGCATAAAACCAAACCCGAGAAGCGAGAGATACCAGAATAGCAGCACTTGACGGCCAATCTCACTCGTCGAGTCGACGGCAAATGCGAGTAAAATGCCTTGGCTGATCGCCCACAGCAGCGACGAGAGACCGTACATGGTGCCGACGTGGTAGACACCAAACATGTCGGCCAGGAAGCACACGAGCAGCGACGCGCCAGAGTTGGAGACAAACTGCAGCAGATACAAGAGCCGCTCGACCGACGCAACGTCCGTCATTTGGTTGGACGTAAAGTATACCAGAGGCAGCGCCACGCACTGCACAAGCAGCAAGACGAGGAAGCAGCCTTTCCGAACCAACGCCGGGTTGCCGTACAGCAGCCGGATGCAAATGTCCGAGAGAATGGGGATCACGAGCCGGCCCGAGAGGTCGGCAACGACACCGCGGAACCGGACGGCGTCGGCGGCCGCGTCCGAGATGTGGTACACGTCGCTGAGGAGGTTCGAGTGGACTTGGGTCGCGGTCATTTCGTTGTAAAACAAGCCCACGACCGAGTTGGAGGTCAGCGCGAGGAGGAGACAGGCAAAGTCGGTCGAGAAAATGCACTGCAAGAGCGACATGGCCTTGACTTGCTCGTGGTACTGACGGTCCGTGCCCTCGACGAGCGAGTTGCTGTGGCGCGCGATCGCCTTGTAGTTGACGAGCGTCATGCCCACATGGAGAAACTCGTCTTGGACGAGACTCGTGTTTGGAGCTTTCGCGCACGGAATGCAGTGCATGTCGTGCCCGCGGACGCTAAAGTCCTTTGGCGGCAAGCGAATGATGAGCGTCGCTAGCAAGAGCGTCGAGAGAAGCACGGCGAGGAGGATCCAAAAGAGGTACTGGAAGGTCGCGTCCGTGCCATCGAGGAGCGCCTCGAAGAGCAGCCCCCAGAGGTGTTTGCCAAGGCCAAAACCAAAGAGGCAAATGCCGGCCACGGTACCGCGAGCATCCGGTGCCCACTTGAGTGCGGTCGAAATGGATGCGAGCACGATCGCAGCAAAGGCCATGCCACCCAAGCTCGTACTAGACACAGTCAATAATGTGAGGCGATCAATGTCGATACAGTCGATGGCACGCACCCGATGGGCAGCAGTGGCCATATGCGAAGCACGGTCGCGATCTGTCCGGTCAAGAGACCAACGGCCATGACGCAGGTGCTGATAGCAAGGCTTTTGCGCGGCCCCTTGCGCTCGACAAGCGGCCCGAGGAGAGCTTGCGCAAGGACAGCGAGGATGCCCGTGAGGAAGATTGCATTTGGCGCATTGGAACTGTCCTCTGGAAAGCGAAAGTAGGCGTTGATGGGGCCTGCGACGGACGAGATGGCGTAGATGGAGCCCGCGACGAATTGCAGCAGCAACGCAGCGAGAAAGATGTAGCCGCGGTGAAAGCGCAGGCAGCAGTAGCGCGGCGCCATGCGACTAGAGCTGTAGAGTGGCCAGTAGAAGACATAGCGCTCCGCATACACGGCGTACGGCGCTTGGCCATCGAGCACCAGCGTCCAGTACGCACGAAGCATCCGAAACCAAAGTGCCAAGTCAAAAGTGATCGGTGCGAAATGGAGTTTTACACCGGGTTTCCATGGCACACGTACGTGAAAATACGCCATCAGTGGGAATGTATGAATTACACTCGTGTTTTGTATGGATTATTTCACACGGTGTTTCACACGTGTCATTTGGTGTAAAAGTTACATACGGTACACACGCGTGCGTTGACCAGCTGTTGCCGCCATCGGTTGTCCACACCCACATGGCCGAGTCAGCAGGCAGGCAATCGATGGTCAGCAACCCTCCCATTTGAACGCGTGGCGGTCGCCCTCTGCGTCTGATCCGTCGCCACAGCTAGGCTTCGGTGTACATCCTACAGGACTCCTCGGCTGCGATGTTGTAAATCTCTACTGCCAATTTAGCGAAGGCAATCGAACATATCATCGCCTTCTTCCAGCAAATCATCAACGTTAGTGCTTTGGATGCCGTTTTTTGCGATGCATGTATTATGTACAGGTGTACTACACAACCTTGAATGCGGCATCGGAAACGTATCCCAGACTCTACGTCGCTATCGGAATACCAAAAATGTATCTTGCGAAAACATCGTCTATCAACTAAACTGCGACGGTGCGACTAGAAGACAACGACTTCAACGCGACAGCATTGTTGTGCAATCCTAATAAGTTACTCGACCACCGCTATAACGAGTCGTCGTCGTCGTCGTCGCCATCGAGCGAGAGCGACGGCCAGAGGTACGGCATCGAGCTTCGCAACACTTCGATACCGTCGGGCACGTCCGTGTACAGATCCCACGTGCCTTGGCGGTGTGGCTGCCACGACTTGCGCGGTCGCTGCACGACGACTTTGCCGCACACCGTGAACCGGTAGCCGCGGTAGAACCGGTCGGCCGAGTCGGTGCGTACAAATAGCAGCGCCAATAGGCCGGCGAGCGAGAGCCACCAGAGGAGCTGCACTTGAAAGGCGAGCGCTGCCACGTTCTTGGCGGTCGTGACGACGAGGAGGGCTTGGCCAATCGCCCACGTGATCGACGAGAGGCCATACATCGTGCCGACGTGGTAGACGCCAAACATGTCTGTTAAAAGACAGACAATCAGTGATGCGCCAGCGTTCGAGGCAAACTGCAGCGCGTAGAGGAGCCACTCGACGTGCGCAAAATGCGTCAACTTGTCCGACTCGAGGTACGCGACAGGAATCGCAATGCACTGCAAAAGCAGTAGACCCGTCAAGCAGAGTTTTCGGACGGCCGCAGGGTTGGCGTAAAAGACGCGGATACCAACGTCCGAGAGAAGAGCCGGTACGAGGCGGCCGAGGAGGTCGACGATAAGCCCGTGCAGGCGCAGTGTCTTGACGACGTCGTCCGAGAGGTCGTAGAGGTCTTGGAGCGGGCAGCGCAAGGTCGCCACCGCCGTCATGTTGTTGTAAAACAAGCCCACCATGCAGTTGGCCGTGAGCGCAATGAGGAGACAGGCAAAGTCGGTCGAAAAGATGCACTGCAACAGCGACATGGCCTTGACTTGCTCGTGGTACCGACGGTCCGTGCCTTCGACAAACGAGTTGCTCCGGCGGGTGACGGCGCGGTAGTTGACGAGCGTCATGCCTATCTGGAGGTACTCGTCTTGAACAAGGTCGACACTCGGTGCTTTCACGGACGGAATGCAGTGCATGTCGTAGCCGGCGACACTAAAGTCAGGTGGTGGCGTCCGCACCAGCAGCGTCGCGACCGTCATTGTCGGCACGAGCGTCAATATGAGGAGCACAAATGTGTACTTAAGGTCCATGCCGGCGGACGTCGTCACGTGGTTGTACAGCGAGGCCCAGAGCTGCTTGCCGACACCAAAACCGACGAGGCAAAAGCCCGCGACCGAGCCGCGTGCGTCTGGACACCACTTCATCGCGATCGAAATCGATACAACCATGATGGCGCTAAAGGCCATGGCCACGCTTAGCATCCTATCACGCAGCGCTCAGCCGATGGGGCTCAAGAATGAGAAAGGACCGTACGCCACGTAAAAGAGAGTCCAGGACGGCAGCGACACGGCGAGAAGCGACGTGCTGAGGCCGAGCGTGAGGACGAGCGTCGCGATTGCCATGCTCCAGCGCGGCCCTTGGCGCTCAAAGAGCGGGCCGAGGAGGGCCTGCGCGAGGATGCTGAGCACGCCAGCCACGAGGATGAGCTGGACGGCGCGTGCGTCGCTGGTCGGGAAGCCGAAATAATGGTTGATCGGGTCGGGCAGCGCCATGAACGCGTAGAGCGATCCAGAGCAAAACTGAACGAGGAAGATCGCGCCAAACAGGTGCAGCCGGTGAAAGAGAAGGCAGGTGTGGCGCGGGAAGCGAAGGACATTGGAGGTTAGCGGCCAAAAGAAGACGTAGCGCTCGGCGTCGACCTCGTAGCACGACTTGGGCGATAAGGTGATGGTCCAGTACATTCCAAAGTGACGACTGGGTCTGAAATTGGAGCCATTTTTGTCTGAACCCAAAAATGATGGAGCGATCACCTGCCGTCGCATATTCCACATCTGAACGCTTCTGGTGCAATCTAGATGATGAGCTTGCGACCTCGGGTGCGACCTGCCTGTACCACCATGGATGTGGTAACGTTTACGACCAGATGTGGTAGTGTAGTCGGTAGCGTCAAAACTTTATCGTCCTGCAGTGTCCGTACGCGCTCATGACGTAAGTGATTCGGTGGTGCCACGAGGGTGTTTTGTTGCAAGATGACACCAGACGCAGCAGCTCAGCGCTAGAGACAACGCAGAAAAGTTGTCTGTCGGGTGAAGCGACAAGAAAAGACATCTCGTGTCCTAGTGACGTTGGCGCTCAGGTTCTGCGCTGTTCTCAGACGACGCTCTACGCAGTAGTGACTGCTGAACTGCCATGGAAGGGTATTTGTTGCACGAATCTTTGTAATTTGTCAAGCTTGGGGAGCTCGAAGCCTGGACAAAGAATGGCCCTTGGGCGTGACCACTTGTTGCGCTGCAAGATTCCGCCGACGATCCTAGAACGCCATTGTGATCGGCCAAAATGCCACCAATCAAATAGCACAAAAGAGCACATGTCCGGCTCAGCTGTGTGCGGCAATCAGTGCATGGTCCACTTGAGGGAGAAAAATCGGTGATCTAAGCACCTTTTGATCATCGACTCGTAGAATTACCGGTAAGTGTATTCCTAAGTTTCAAAGTCGCAGTGACAGGGACAACTGTACATGTACCACGACGGAGAGCATGTCGTGACCAGCACCGAAATCCCAGACTTTCATTTTCGTATGTTGCGTCATGTTCTTCGATGGACGAACACAGTGGTCCAATCCACCCGCTCTCCTACTTTGCTGTATGAGCTGACACTGTTTGCTAACCGGGCCACTCCGAGCTGCCACGTTTGCTACCGAAAGGGACCCTGTTTTGGACGGCGCTTAGCGCTCTTAAAGAGCCCAGTACAAGCCACACGTTCTTGCAACACGTATTGGTTTGCGGCATTATCTCAACATGGATGTACTGCACCTCATTCTATACCTTCAGTGCAGTACAGTACTGGTAATGCGTAAAATAGTACGTCGTAGCTATGAGTGCTTGGCTACATGGCCACTGGCCCGGACAACGCCCTGACAAAAAATCACGTTTCACACGCGAGACTCACACCAGCTGGGCAACCGATAGAGCCCACTGTATTTTTCACACGTGTGAAATACGAGGCGAGAATACATTTGCAGAGTAGTCCCAAAAGTCGCTTGTTTTTCACCCACTTTGCACCAGTGAAATGCGTGAATCTGCGACGACGGCCTTTCTCACACAACCCGGACGGGTTGCCTGATCCCGCCTGTCACTTTGGCAAATTGTCGGTGGCGAGCAGCAGCATGCTGCAGGCGTACTGGACGATCGCACTCGATCCCAAGGCACCGTACACCGTGCACGCCGAGCGCCACGTTTTCTTTTGGCCGCTCTGCAGCGCAAGTCTCCAGGCGCCGCGCTACTGCTGCCTCCGCTTCCATCGCGCCTACGTCTTCTTTGCCACGTTCCTCCTCCAGTTTGCGACCGGCTCCATTTACGCCATTTACTCGGTGTCGGGCCCCATCAATGTCTACTTTGGCTTTCCAGAGGACAGTGACAACGCCACCAATGCCGTCGTCACCTCGGGCATCCTTGGTATCCTCGCGCAAGCGTTCCTCGGGCCGCTCGTCGAGGGCAAGGGGCCGCGCACAAGCCTTGGTGTCAGCACCGGCATTATGGCCGTTGGGCTCTTGACGGCACAGATCGCGACCGTGCTTCGCATATGGACCCTCCTTCACGTCGGGTACATGCCACTACGATCTGAGTTTCGGCTTACCATGTCGGATGTAGCGTCGTGTTCGTCGCCGTAGCGTTTGGAGCGATCATGCTCGCATCCATTTCGACCGCACTCAAGTGGGCACCGGATGCTCGCGGTACCGTGACCGGCATTTGCCTCTTGGTTTGCCTTGGCAACACCTCTGGGGCTGCTCTTCGAGGCGCTCATCGATGGCACGGACGCGACCTTCCAGTACCCTCTTTTGGACTCCTCCTCGCCGTGCTTCTCTCGACGCT